TCACACATGGTGCAGCAGGTCCTTCAGGGCTTCGACTTCACGTACTCCTCGCCTCAGGCCACTCCTCTGTCTACTCGCCACTTGCTCTCAGCTCTGCCTTTGGATGAGTCCATAGAGCCGAGTGGCCCGTACCCAGAGCTTGTTGGCTCCCTCATGTACATGATGACCTACACACGACCTGACCTTGCATACCCTCTTAGCATATTGGCACGCTATGTTGCTCCTGGCAGACACAGGCCAGAGCATATGGCTGCAGCGAAGAGGGTGTTGCGCTACTTGTGCAGTACGTCGGGCATGGGGCTAGTGCTTGGAGGGCGAGGTCGAGTGGTCCTCACAGGTCACGCTGACGCTTCTTGGGCTGACGACCAGGCTCTACAGCAGTCGTCACAGGGTTACACCTTCAGCCTTGGCTCCGGCTCTGTTTCGTGGCGGTCTACCCGCTCGTCTTCTGTTCTCGGCTCCAATTGTGAGGCTGAGATCCACGCGGGGGCCATGGCTGCACAGGAGCTACGCTGGCTCACCTACCTGCTAACTGACCTAGGAGAGTCGCCTCGTTCTCCTCCACATCTGTACGTAGACAACAAGGCCATGCTGGTCTTGTGTCGGGAGCACAGATTGGAGCACAGAACGAAGCATATTGCTCTTCGCTACTTCCTTGCTTGTGAGCTATAGTAGTGTGGTCAGCTGCGCCTTGCTTACGTGGCTTCTGAGGCCAACACTGATGATATCTTTACTAAGGCACTTCCGCCTTGATATCATCAGCGCTTCTGTACGATGCTAGGTCTTGTGCCTTCTTGGCCTCACTTGCTCACTTCTTGACCTTGCTTGTACGGTGATCTTGCTATACGTGCACTTGCTTGTTTACGTTTATATATGATCTTGCATGTGAGCTGGCCTTTTGGCCTTGCTCTTGTGCTGGGATTGTGTGGTGACGTTGTGATCCACCCTGAGCTTGCTTTGCTTTGCTTGACTGGTCTCGTGACCTCTTGTTCTCCCCCACTTTGCCTATGGGGTTGTGTCAAACTTATATGCTATGGTCTATCTAGGCTGTAGTGGGGTAGACACTATAGGGTACAACATTTCTAGATTTCCTACTTGTACCCACATTTCCCTTAGTCATTTCATTCCTCAATTCTCACAGAATGAACGCAGAGCATCAGACGGTTGGAATCGACTCGAAGCGTCAGACAGTTGGGATGCATCTGGACCGTCGGAGCATACAGCATTAGGCAGCTGCAGGCAGGATGGTTTCGGCGGGAACAGTTTTGTAACTGTTCACGCCGCATGGTTGGGAATGTATTTGAATATGGGAATGTACCCCTTAGAGTACATGGCTAGCTAGGTCGTTTCATCTCCCCTGTACTCATATTTATATTTGCTATATTTGCATGTTTCAAATCATCTCAAAGCATTTTACATTCACTCTGCTATTGAGGTCAAGGGCCCACCAACATCACTTCTCTGCGTGCGAACCTTCCTGAGTATATCCTAGGCCACGATCAACTTCTGATCGCAGCATGGTATGAGAGCGGCTCGGGAATCCTTCGTACTGCCACTCCTGAAAATTGCGACATTCGGAAAGTGGCGTCCGGCACACGCTCGCGTGTGAGAATGGCCGGAGGATCTGGTGGTCAGACAAATCTGACGGCTGAAGCGCAGCCCAACCCGGCTGCGACAAGCGATGAAACGACGACGATCCCTTCCGCCGTCCTCGCACAACTGCTTCAGCGACTCACGAGCCTGGAGCAAGGACTCCGAACATTGCGGAATGGCGACGCAGGAACCTCTTCCCAACCCACTCAACCGGCGTGAAACGGCCAAAACTTCGCCCCGCAAGGCTTCTCCCTAGATACGAATGGCTCAACCCCCAAGACTCCCTGTCCCAGCGATGAAGCAGTTCTCTCCGCGCAATCAAGGTTTTTTAGCATATCAAGAATAAAGTCAAGTGTGTGCTTTGACCGCAGAGACTTTTGCACCTGGAGCTTCGAGCTGGAGCTGCTGCTGCAAAATGCGCAGATTTATCATTATTTCGACGTGAGCTACTCGGGACCTGCTGAGGACACCGACGACGCCAGGACTCGCTATTATAACGAGTCCCTGATGGCGTACGAGATTCTTCTGCATAACATGTCGCCGGCGGAGCAGCTGAACATTCGTTCATACAAGACATCGGCTGCCCTAGCCCTTGACGCTTGGCGCCACCTAAACGGCGTGTATCAGCCCAAGGACTCCGTCTCCTCGAGCCGACTACTCCAGCAATTGCTGGAAACTAAGATGACCTCAGGGGAGAAGTTCAACAGCTACATCAACCGCTGTCGAAGCCTTCGCGATCAAATCGTGAAGTTGGGAAGCTCGATTTCCGAGGAAATCTTCGTGAACATTGTGCTTCAAGGGCTTGGCCCAGAGTGGCGGCCCTGCAAGGCGCTCCTCCGACAGTAAGGGGGTCATCTCGGAGGCCGCCCTTTGCGCCGCCCTTCTTGTCGAACAACGGGACATGGATGAGCAGCGACCAGCGCCACGACGAGAACGCGAACGGCTCGCCTTCTACGCCGACAACAATGAAGAGCGACGACCGCGGCGCCTTTAATGCAAAATCTGCAGAAACTTTGGGCATTTGGCGGGTCGATGTAAGTTCCGATCTCGCCCTCGCCAGACCAATCCGAGCAACTGGTCCGGCCGACAAGACGCACGAGGCGACGTGCGTCTAGCCCAAGGGTATCAACCCCCACCCGCGCGCAATTTGAACTCAACCGTTCAGCATCAGCAGCAGCAGCCATCAACTGCCCCTACGCGCAACGTCATGAGCAACATGGCCATGACCGGTGAGTCACGTCGTCGCCGTGTTCGCTCACCCTCACCTGAGCCAGCACCGCACCCCATCGGCGCGTTCACCAACAACAACCCGTTCAACCCGCGCCGTGACTTCAACGACGACGACGACCAGGACTGGAACCTCCCAGTCTCGCTGCTTGAAAGTCCCCCGCACATACCAGACATGCGGGTGGCGCCACTTGATTGGCTCTCGCGCGAGCAATTTCTGAAGTTGGACACCCCGCACATCGTTACACCGCGATTGACGCTGCTCGCACGTGACGACAACAAGCGCTACAACACCTGGTACCTAGACAGCTGCTGCGGCCAGCATATGGTGGGCTCCGAGAGTTACATATCCAACGCCGTCCCCACCCCTACAGTCACTTACGTCACTGTGGCGAACAACACGCGCCTGCGCGCAAGCGCACAAGGCATTGTCGTGGTCAAAGCACATGGAAGGCGCACGCACATCACGCTTAGCAATGTGCTGATCATCCAGAACGTGCGCTTCAACCTCCTGTCCGCCGCATTTCGCCCACATTTCGCCCACATTTCGCCGCAATTCCGCAAGGAATACATTCTCCTCACGGTGTACGTCGACGACCTGCTTTAAACAGGCTCAAACAACGAGCTTCTCGAGCAGTTCGAGAAGGCCTTGGCGGGGCGCGTCGACATCACGTGCAACTACGAGGTGAAGCAGTTTCTAGGCCTCAACATCTCCTACGCGCCTGAGGCCATTCATCTCTCAGCGGCTAAGTACGCAGAGGAGTTAGGGAAGCGGTTCAACATTTCACCTGCACCTCTCTCAACTCCCTACCGAACTCCCGGACCGAACCACAAACCCGTCAACAAACCCCTATCCCCTGTTGGGATTCAGACTTACCAGCAGTAGTTGGGATGCCTCCTCTTCGCCTCTGTCACCTGCAGGCCAGACCTCTCGTACATCGCCAGTCAGCTGGCGCAGTACTCACGCAAACCATCGGCTGAGAATCTTCTGGATCTGCAGTGCGCCCTTCAGTTCTTCGTTTCAACGCCCAAGATTGGGCTGTGCTACTCAACTGCACCAACTCCATCCTTCAACCTCATCGGCTATGTGGACGCCGATCACGCAGCAGACCCCGAAAATCGACGGTCCAGGACTGGCTTCATGTTCCGACTCGAGCCAATGGGACCAATCTCCTGGAACTCGCAGAAGCAGGAGCTGGTTGCCCTGTCGTCAGCCGAAGCGGAATTCATCGCAGCAACCGCAGCAGTTCGCGAAGGCCTCTACTTGCAGGAACTACTGCAAGGGGCGAAAATTCCAGCTTCGCCCACATTTCGCCTTCACTGCGACAACCAGAGCGCGATTCGCATCGCGAACAAACCTGGTTTCGTCAACCGCACCAAGCACATTGCGCTGCGGTACTTCTTCGTGAAGGATGAGGTGGACAAGGGCAAGGTCAACTTGACCTACTGCCCGACCGGTGACATGGCAGCACCCTTCCTCACGAAGCGACTGCCACGCCAGCAGTATCAGCACTGCTCCGAACTCAGCGGCGTGGTCAAGCAGGTCAAGTCGAGCTACGGCCAGGAGTGAAGGGGGGTGTTACGAATAGTAATACTTGAATATTACTGTGCACTCCTCACCGCAGCAAAGAGAAGCACGCAGTATGGCGAATGAACGCGAAGCGTCAGACGGTTGGAATCGACTCGAAGCGTCAGACAATTGGGACGCATCTGGACCGTCGGAGCAGACAGCATCAAGCAGCTGCAGGCAGGATGGTTTTGGCGGGAACAGTTTCGTAACTGTTCGCGCCGCACGGTTGGGAATGTATTTGAATAAGGGAATGTACCCCTTAGAGTACATGGCTAGCTAGGTCGTTTCATCTCCCCTGTACTCATATTTATATTTGCTGTATTTGCATGTTTCAAATCATCTCAAAGCATTTTACTTTCACTCTGCTGTTGAGGTCAAGGGCCCACCAACATCACTTCTCTGCGTGCGAACCTTCCTGAGTAGATCCAAGGCCACGATCAACTTCTGATCGCAGCAACACAGGCAGCGCCGCACCATAAGCACCTCTCCAGTGGGAGCTTTCATTTGCTTGATTTACACAAATGCATACCGGTACTATGGTAGCAATAATGAAACATTGGAAAGAGCTAGCTACAGTACATATAATCTAACAGTAAGACATTGACCTGTCCTAAAACTTGTTTTTACCACCCTTCATTCTCCATGGTCTCATGCCGTCTGCCTTCGCCTCATGCCCTGATTGTCTCTCCTCCTGTCCGTTCCCTCTTTCCTCCTGTCCCTTCTCTCTCTCCCCCTGCCCCTTCCCATCCCCGTGCCCTTTTCCGTGCCCCTCCTGCACCTTTCCTCCCTTCAACAGTGACAAGATTTTGCTCTTGGGCACTCTAGCTATCGACCCCCCCTTCCCACCATCCTTCCCACCTGCACCGGCAGCTCCACTCACACTAGCCTGCCCTGGTGACCGCTGCAAAAGAGAAGACACTTCGGCAAACGAGTGTGCTTGTATGGGGGATGGCAAACATGGGGAAGTGGCGTGCAAGCGCGCTTGTACAGGGGGAGAGGAATCGGGGCTGGTACGTGAGCGTGACTGTACAGAGGGTGAGGAGTAGGAGTGTGATGTAGGTAATCGGCGACCTGTAGGGGGGTGGTAGTCCAAGAGTGTGGAAGAGAGGGGAGGGACCCGGGGCCTAGTGCTGCTTTTGATGCTGTTCGCGCTGCTCGAAATACTGCTGATGCTGTCGATGCTGTTCAAACTGTCGTTGTTGCAAGCAGCACTGCCGGTACTGACGCTCCTTGGAAGGGCGGCTGAAACGCTCTCGCAGTTGGCATTGACGCCAACTGAGGTGCCAGCAGCAGCAGCAGCAGCAGCAGCAGCAGCAGCAGCAGCAGCAGCAGCAGCAGCAGCAGCAGCAGCAGCAGCAGCAGCAGCAGCAGCAGCAGCAGAGACAGGAGCAGCAGCAGGAAAGGTAGAAGAAGCAGCAGGAGCTGCAGCAGCAGAGCTAGCAGAACTCCATGCGGCAACACTGTCACACCTGGCAGTGCAATAGCTACTTTCGGACTCACACGCACTAGCTGCACTCTCAGCCCCATCTGCACTGATGCTTCGTGGGATTCCACTGGCTCTCTCCCCACTGCTACCCTGCACAGCAGCAGCTGCTGCATCACCAACAGCCAATGTATCAGCAGCCAAACCAGCAGCAGTAGCCGAGGCAGCAGCAGGAGCTTCCCTATGCTTAGCGTTTCCCGCCAGCACAGCAGCATCCCCACGCGCACAAGGCCCCTCACTCCTGCTGCTGCCACCACCACTGCTGCTTACCCCCAAGCTGCCACTGTCTCCCTGGCTCTCCATGTCCCACCCATTGCCCTCAAGGTCCCCCTCAGGCTCAACCCCCTGGCCCATTCCATTGACGTGCAAGTCATCCCTTGGCTCTTGAGTCGACCCAAAGGTCAACTCGTTTGTCTGGCCCTCAGGAACGATTTCCTGCCTGATTCCATTGATATGCGAGTCACCCCCTGGGATGATCCCTTGCTCTGCTTCCTGCTCTAGCCCCTGAACACCCCCCTGGCATACTCCCTGCCCTACTCCCTGCCCTACCCCCTGGCTCTCAGCAGCGCTATCCCTGTCCTCCTCAACCACAAGGTCCCCATCGTTTACCCCCCGGCACACCCCCTGACATACCCCCTGTACCCCCTGGCTCTCCAAAGCGCCCTCCTCTCTCACTCCCTCACTCCCTCTCCCACCAGCCTCGTCCTCCCCATCCCCCGCAATGAGCCCTTGTCTGCTCAGCCGCCTCAGATGCTCCTGCAGCTGCAGCAGCCGCCTTGTTGCTGCATCCACCTTCTCCTGTCGCTCTGGACTTGCATTAGCCTTAGACGCCCCGGCAGGCCTGCTGAGGGACTTGAGCACTGCTGCGAACCTTGGGCTGAGGCACGAAGGGCTGGAAAGGGCGCTCCTTTTAGCAGACTCGGGAACCGATAATAACCTGGGGCTGAGACATGAGGGGCTGGATGGGGCAGGTGCAGTGGTGCTAGTGCTTGATGCGGTGGAGAGAGATGCTGTGCGGCCTGTGCCAGCAATTGCAGCAGCAGCATCACCAGCACAAACAGCAGTAGCACCAGCGGCAGCAGTAACATCACCTTCATAAACAGCACCAGCAGCAGCAGCTGCAGCAGCAGTTGCAGTATCACCAGAAGCACCAGTTTCACTCCTCTTCCCCTTTCCCTTCAACCCAAGACACTGCCCGAAGGGATTCTGGTTACCAGAACCGTGCTTCAGATGGGAAGGCAAAGGGCTCATGATACCAGGGTTACCATCTGCTGTCGTAACATGGTTACCACCTTCGCCAGGGCTGCTTGCCAACTGGTTACTACCATCGTTACAATCACTCCTGCTGCTGTCCAAAAGGCTTCGAAAGGATCCGTCAAACGACGGGTCCTCTCCAGTCCTGAATATCCCGCTGTTCCCTCCGTTGCTTAGCTGAGCGCCAGCGTTTAACCGAGAGCTGGCAAAGGCTTCGAGAGGAAAGGAGAGTGAGAAGCCATCAGATAGGTCGAGTACGGGCACTGGGAGCATGAACATGCTGTTGCTTTCTGAGCTTGCATCGTCTTCCTCCTCATCCCAATCTGAATCCCCATCCTCCTCTTCCCCCTCTTCCGCCTCTTCCTCCTCCTCTTCCTCCTCCTCCTCCTCCTCCCCATCTGCTTTCTCTTCCTCCGCTCCTTCGTTCCATTCGTTTTCCTCACGTTCACCACGTTCCTTCCCTCCCTCATCTTCCCAATACCCTTCACCTTCCCAGTAACTCTTTCCTGCCAAACTATCCCCCCCACATTCCATCTCCGTTCCAACAGCAGCAGCAGCAGCATCAACAGCAGTAACAGCAGTAGCAGCGGCAATGGCAGGACCTGCATGTTTATCCTGCTCTGCATTGCTCCCCCCTCGCCCCTTCCCATTCCCATCCCCTTTCCTCTCCCCTTTTCCCTCCCCCTTCTTCTCCCCTTTCCCTTTCCCCCTCCCCTTCCTCTTCCCCTTCCGCTTTCTCCCAAACCCCCCTCCCAGGCAGGAAATCGGAAACCCCGACCCTCCTCCCCCCTTAGAGCTGCTGATTCTGCTGCCAATGCTCACACTCCTAGCGTCATACTCGCTAAGAGCATCCTCAAGAGCGTCATAAGCGGTGGATGGAAAAATCCACCCAGGCGGCGTAAGAGAATGGGAAAAACTGCTCTCTCCTCTGCTATCTCCTCGACTGTCTCTGTACTGTTCCCTCAAACTTGCTTCCAACGCAGCAGCAGCAGCAGCAGCAGCAGCAGCAGCACCGCCGCCACCAGCAACAGTGCTGCTGACACCCGAGTCACGCCTTGCTTCCACCCCAACACTGAAAGCAAACGATCCCACCCTACCCACACTCTCTCCCACCTCTGCTCTCTCTCCCTCTCCCTCACCCTCTCCCTCTCCTCCACACGCAACCCCAGCTGAAGCAGCACTGCCATGCTCCATCTCACACCTGTCCACCTCCATACGCGTTAAAGCATGCCCCTGGTTCGTTTCAACACTCGCCCTCTTCGCCACCCTATCAGCCAACCCCACAGCAGCCTCTAGAGCCGATTCTAATTCCATACTCGGAACACCCCACATGCGTCGGGCCGAATCCAGACTCATCTTTTGGACCTGCTCCCTCCCGCCTCTCCTCTGACCCATCATGTCACAACCCCCCTGCTCCCTCTCTCCCCTCCTCTGAGCCATCATGTCACAACCCCCCTGCTCTACCCTATCAGCCACCCCCACAGCCGCCTCTGGCCCCGAACCCAGACCCATAGTCTGGACCTGCTCCCTCCCTCCTCTCATCTCAGCGCTCTCAGCCGTGACACTGTGCTGCTGCGTTGGCTTTGCTGCCTCTGCCTCACAACAAACCCCCTTCTCCACCCTTCCAGCCACCCGATCAGCCGCCCTCATAGCGGCCTCTAGAGCGGATTCCAGGTCCATGGTAGGGACAGCCCACATGCGGGGGGCCTTTTGAGGCGCCTCAGAAGTGGCTTCACAAGTAGCCTCGAGAGGGCCCTTCTCCACCCGATCAGCCGCCCCCATAGCGGCCTCTAGAGCAGATTCTAAGTCCATGGTAGGGACAGCCCACATGCGGGGGGCTTGACCTGCCTTCCTCCTCACAATCATCCCCGGCCCTACCCCTCCCTCTGCCACCACTTTTGCCGGCACTCGCATCACTCCACTTCCCGTCCCCCCTGCTCCTCCCCCAGCCCCTCCCCCTCCCCCTGCTCCTCCCCCTTCCCTTTTTTTGGAAGGGTAAATTACCCTGGAATCTGCAGCGAAACTCCCTATGGCTGCCTCGACCATCGCTGCTGCTGCAAGTATATCCTCATCGGAGCAGAGCGATGATTCTGCAGGAAACCCAACGGTTGAGAACGGTACAGGGGCATACTCCACATGACCATCACCTGTTACCCCAGGAGGCAGGAAATCTGGATCTGGCAACACAGCCGGGGCATCTGGGCCGTTGAATCCTGCAGATGCATCAGGGCCGTTGGATGCAGCAGGTGCGTTCAGATCACAAGCGGCATTTTCAGCACTAACGCTGGTGGGTGGCAGCTGGCCTTGCACTAACCCCTTAAAAGAAGCAGCCTCTCCTGCACTTCTTGCCTCCCCTGCACTTCTTGCCTCTCCTGCACTTGCTTCCTCTGCTGCTTCTGCACTTGAGATGCCTCGCCCGTCCACTCCTTGCATCCTTTCCCCTTGCGCCCCTAGCCTCTTCTCCCCTTGCCCCACCTGGCCCCGTGGCACAGCCTGCACGGCCCCCACTGCTGCCCCTTGCGCTCCAAACCCTTGCCAATCCGCCCCGTCCCCTCCCTCTTTCGTAGTGCCTCGTTGCCTCTCCTCCACCTGACCCCACGGCACAGCCTGCACGGCTCGCACCGCTGCCCTCACAGCAGCATGCATGTGAGCGGGTTTCACTCGGATACTATACACCCTCTTCACTGGATTGCCAGCCGTGGCAGCAGGGGCAGCCGCATTCCCCACAATAGCATCAGTGGCAGCAGTTGCATTCCCAGCAGTGGCAGCAGTAGCAGTAGTGGCAGCAGCAGCAGGTACAGCAGCAGCAGTGGCAGCAGTGGCAGTAGAAGCGGCCTGTTGTGCCTTGAGAGAAGCCAGCTCATCAACATGGCTGCTGAGTCGGTTGAATGCCTCCTCTATCCTGCCCACTGCCATTGCCACGTCTTCATGTCCTTCCCCTCCTTCCCCTCCTTCCCCTCCTTCCCCTCCTTCCCCTCCTTCCCCTCCTTCCCCTCCTTCCCCTCCTTCCCCTCCTTCCCCTCCTTCCCCTCCTTCCCCTCCTTCCCCTCCTTCCCCTCCTTCCCCTCCTTCCCCTCCTTCCCCTCCTTCCCCTCCTTCCCCTCCTTCCCTCCTTCCCCTCCTTCCCCTCCTTCCCCTCCTTCCCCTCCCTCTACTCTCACTCCTCCCTCCTCTCCCTCTCCTACCTCAACATTTTCTTCAGTCTCTCCTTTCCCTTCGCTTTCCTCACCTTCCCCTTCCCCCTCTCCTTCCCTTTTACCCTCTCCTTTTCCTTCTCCCTCTCCTTTTCTTTCTCCCTCCCCTTTTCCTTCTCCCTCCCCTTTTCCTTCTCCCTCCCTTTTTCCTTCTCCCTCCCTTTTTCCTTCTCCCTCCCCTTCCTCTTCTCCCTCTCCTCGTTCACACGACTCCACAACGCTACTGAATCGACTGAAAGCTGCTTCAATCCTCTCCAGAGTGACTGCCACTTCCTCCACCAACACTTCTCCCTCTACCTCCCCCATTTCCTCCACCAACCCCGCCCTCTCCTCAACTTCTCCCTCTCCCTGTCTCACCTCCTCCCCCAGCCCCGCCCCCTCCCCCACCGCCCCTCCTTTTCTCCCTTCTTCCGCAGTCTGTCTCTCCTGGGGACTGTCTAACTGATCCGGTAACACATCCTCACAGCTGCGCTGCACTCGGTCTTGCATAGTCCTAGTGTGCTCCTGAGATTGTCTACCTTCCACGGGTGAGTGCTGTGATAAGAGCACTGACGTCCCTTGATGTGACCCGTACCCCTCCCCCCCCCTACAGTCACTCGCGTTACTGTCACAATTGCTGCTCCCCAAGCTGCGGCCGCTGCTCGTATGAACCCCCGAGCCCTCCCGCTCGATCTTATCCTCTCCCACCCACCGCCCAGCGTATCCAGCTCGGATTTCTGCCAGCCTGGCAGCCAGCTCAGCATCTCTCTCGATGGACACACGAGAAGGCAGGCCACACGTAGCACGCCACCTGGCGGCCGAGGTCGGCCGGCAGGGGACAGACAGACGGCGGGGCTGCTGACCTGGCGGTGACTCAAAAGCGCGTGCATGAGTTGGAGCTGAGTCAGCTGACTCGGCAGCAGGATGTAACTGGGGGGAATTGACTGCTGTTACCAATTCGGCAGCGATAGTTGCTGCTATTGCTGCTGCAGCGGCTGTAGCTACTGGTGTGGTTGCTGCAACTGCTGTAGCATCCACTGGAGCCACTGTAGCCCCCACTGGAGCCACTGTAGCCCCCACTGGAGCGGCTACTGCTGCAGCTTCTGCCCCGCCACTGTAGCCCCCGCCAGTGGGGGCCAGCTTCTGCTGTCCTGCCAAGCCACACTCATCCCTCAACTCCCTTTCGGCCGAATCTCCAGTCGTCGCAAAAGTCGCTGAAGCATCAGATGAGCCCCCCCAGGCGGCCTCACATTTCCCCGAGATTGTTTCTCCCTTATTGCCCAGCAAGCTCCCAGAAGACGATTCCGCAGATGCTTCCATGCGGGGGAGGGACGGGACCGCGTCTGTGCAAGCAAGGGACGCAGATGCTTCAGTGCCGGGGAGAGAATCCGCTGCTGTTCTGAACGAGATGGATGCCAAGGGCTCAGCATGCCCTCCCTGAGATCCACCACCATCAGCGCTCCCCCCAGCGCCTCCCCCAGCGTCCCCCTCACCAGCCTGCTGTTCCCCATCCTTGTCACCAACCGTGCTTTCCCCTGCCACTGCTACTCGCTCGTTACAGTCACTCTTGCTACCAGTACTAGCACTGCCCCCCCTGCTCCCACTAACAACATCTCCATCAATACCCATGCGAACCGCTTCACTGGAACTCTGCTTTTCGCAGCTTGGGTTTACGCCCTCGCCCCCGCCCCTTTCACCAACCTTGGAACCGGATTGCACCGTTATAGAGTCCTCCAACCCACCCACTATCGAGTCACCGCCGTGCCTGTCCCTGCCCTTGTCCCTCCGAAACGCGTTGATATGCATCTGGTTCCGCTTTCCTACTTGCCTGAACTTATCCGTAAATCCCACCTTCTCCCCACCATTCGCCCCGCCCTTCCCCACCATATCAAACGATAAGCCATAATCACTGTAGCTCGCCATGTCCACGTGTCCTTCATTCCCTAAATCACAATCCTCCTCCAATCCGGTACCTGCTCCGTTTTCCCCTGCCTCCCGCGCCTCGCTAGAAGCCCCTTCGTTATTTTCACTCTGTCTGCCACTCGTACGGTTGGAGTTGCTGTGCTCCGCTATAGAGTCCAGCAGTTGGCCTTCTAACGAGGCAGAGCGACTCCTCTCCTTGGCCCTCCTTATCGCGTTGATATGCATTTGGTTCCGCTTCCCCACTTGCCTGAACTTATCAGTAAAACTCACCTGCTCCTCCCCGCTTGCCCTGGCCTTCCCAACCATATCAAACGAGATACCGAAATCACTGTAGCTCGCCATATCCGCACTGCCATCTACAGTATCGTCAAGAATATTATCTCCATAAAACGAGTTATATATACCCGTTACAAGCGCACTCGATGGGGGGAGACTGCCGGAAATCTCGAGCGCGGCAGACTCGAGATCCGCAATTCGCGTCAGGCGATTGCGCAAGTCGCACGATTCCCCTCTCTCCTGCCAGCTCTCAGCTTCCGTGACTCTGCTAAGCGCGCGCGTTAAGTTTATAAGCCTCGGCATCACATCATCCTCGCTACAAGTTTGCGACAACGACTCCAAATCGCCGCTGCCTCCTGCCTTTTCGGTCCCTCCCGCACTTCCGGCGCCTTTCAGCCCCGACAGAAAAAACGTCTTGCCTTTCCCGTTGGTTACCACATCGACTGTTCGCCGGATCCATTTCGCGCCTTTCTTCCCCCCTCGCAGGCTGATTTGCTTCAAACGATGCAACGAGAGAACCTGCTTCGCCGCGCCAGCAGAACCAGAGGACCCGGATAACGTCTCCGACTCTTGTTGTAACGCCTGTAAGTCTGGTCGCGAACCCGGTATCGCTGCTCCGTTACTATCACGAACAACAGAAGCCTGCGCGTCAGTGTCAAGACTATCCGGAAATTCCGCCGGTCCTTCAGCTTGCTGCGATTCGTAGACTGAATCTTCTGGCAAGGCGTCGAGTTGCGAGGAGTGTGCAGCACCGTCGGTTACATGAGCAGTTTCCGGCGAAGGTAGCGCCACGTCGCTCGCCAAGGCGCGTCCGGCGCTGTCGACTATTGCCTCTTCAACGGATTGGTACTTAGAATCGTAGAGGAGGACGTACGCGTCTCCGCAGTCTACTAAAACTAGCGAGTCTTCCTCGTTCGACATTTGTCCTCTATGCTCGGGATTCGGGAACTAGGATGAGCTAAATTGGAGTAAGAAACCGCGGCTACACAACGCGAGAAACGAGTGAACTTGTTGCTAAGCGGTTCCTAAAACGAGTCAGGACCTCTGGTGTAGATGGCGAAAACTTGCTGCTCGAAGAAAGAAACAAAGTGAAGCTGGAACTAATTTTGGAGACTTGACGTGCTACGAACGTGAATGATGGTTCTTCGGGTTGTATGCAGGAGTAATCCAGTATGTCCAGTGCTTTGAAATATGGCTCCTAACATACGGTTCAATGAGGTTCCTCAGGTTTGAACACGGTAGTTTCTGCTCGCCGTTTTGGAACGCAACAAACCGAACAGCAACGAGATGCATGCAGGGCACCCTTGAGGGGAGATGGATGTTGATAGGCGGATAAGTCGAGAAGTCGGACTGATGAAACTGAAGACCGGGGGAGGCGGAAAGCGGAAAGGTGGAGAGACTCGGGGAAACGCGGCATTCCAAAGTGACGGCGGGTTGGAGATAGGGGGAGGTCTTGCTGGGTGCGGGGAAGATTGGCGGCAGCCATCACTGGAAGATCGAGGGAGCCTTCCTGCCCGTGTTGGGGGGGGACGGTGGTGGGTTGGGTGTGGTAAATCCGTCTGGCGCAAGTTGTGCTGATGTGCGCGAGTCGCAGCCCGCGGACGTGGGCGCGGAATGAAAGCTGGAGAAAAGCGCTGGTTCAGGCAGGTGGCGGAAAATAGTTGGCTGGCCAGTGGCCCCACAGCCATCACCATTGGTGCGCCTACCGCGTGGCTTGTCGGTGCGAAGGACGAACGACAGCCTGGGGGGAAGGCGGGAAAGGAACAGGGGGGGCGTATTTGCCAGCGCTCTCTGGCTTCTGTCCGTGGATACTCCAACATCACACGGCAAGGAAAACACGACACATGCTCGAGATAGGGTTTGAGAATGTAGTTTTACGGAAGAAGTGTTTTTGCATCCATTAAGTGTGTACCGCGTTCTACTGTAATCGATCCATCCTTATGGAGTACTGCGAATCCCAATGCCGCGAAATTTGCAGCTTTGAATTCTCGAGTCCGTTTTCCCGCCAACTCTTTTCTGCCGCTCTGTCTATCCTCGAGCCATTCCTTGGAATGGAAGGATTCGAGTTTCGCTTTCACCAGTCGCTTCATTCTTCCTTCTTCCTCGCTCAGCCTGTTCTTTGGTGAAGTTAGAACTGAGTGATGCTGGGAAGTGAAGTCACCAAATGCGCGTTTCATTCTCAAGCTCTTTAGCCGCGTGCCAAATCCAGGTCTGAGAGGCCGACGACTTTCTGGCTCTAGATTTAGTCGGATAGATTAGTCTTCGTGTACAACATTGTGACATCTAGAAGCGCATGACCTTGGATTCCTTTTTCTCGGCCCTATATTGGATTCGCATACCGCTTCGTTTCCCAGCCAACGTCACGTTTGTTCGGCGTCACTATACCTTTGCCCAATGGATTTCAACGTAACCTCACGAAAACGAGCCGCACCTTCAGTAGCGCAGGGTCCCGGCACGGTCGGCGCCGACGGTCGCGGCGTAGGTCTGTCGGGATGGAAATCCTCCGCAGGAAGCGGCGGAGCTTCCGCGTGCCAGCTGTCGATGTACGACGAGGCGCCGGTGGGGGAAGAGGTGGCCATGGAGCAATTCGAGGAGTTCGCGCTGGACCGGCTCCGGGGTGAGCTAGCATTAGAAAAAAAAAGCCTAGATATCTGTTTTGCAATAACATGTCTGGAAAACGGTTGGCTCCCGAAGCGTGCAGGATAGAATCGAACGGGTCAAAGGACGGTCTGAGATTCGTCGCGTAGGTCCGGTTCACGGCTCGTCGTGGCCTGTCCACTCGTTTGTAACGGAATCTGAAGCGAGTCTTGTTTTTCCGTGCGCAGTGCTCAAGGCGATCGACGACGCCAAGGCGCGCGGAACAAAGGTGGACGAGCTCGACAGCATGGTATGTGCGTCCTACCTCTGAAAGATTGGCGGAAACGTTTAGCCAGGTAGGAGCTTGCATGATAGCGTCACGCCGTTTCTTTCGTGCCAATTGATGGTAGTTCCCGTATTTCGTGCCAGATCATGATACTTCTGTCTCTCGGTGGCATCAGACAGGCTCAGATTCTGGTGTTGCTATTTACACGCACCACGCTTTGTTTCGCAGGTGTCAGACATATGGCGGAAGTACATGCGAGCTGGATGCTCATTGGCTGACGCTCGTCGCAAAGACGTCATATCGCACTACATCCTGCGACTCGCCTACTGTCGCACGTGAGCCTTTTGAGACGCCTCGCCTATTGTCGCACATGAGTCGTTAGAGACATTTCAAACATTCCCTACTGTCGCCTAAGGGTTCGCATCACTCGGCTCGCAATGTTGTACCCCTTAAGTGGTCCATTATTCACTTGGCGGTGGTTCAGGGAGGAGCTACGGCGGTGGTTGTTGGCGCAAGAATCGGCTCTATTCCGCCACAGGTTCCGAGCTGAGACCCCTGAAAACCAGGTGAGTCGATTCTTTAGTTGACATGTACAGACAGACGATTGAATAACAATATTATCTCTGGATGTTGGCGCACGAATCGGCTCTATCCGCCACAGATTCCGTGCTGAGACGCCTGAAAACCAAGTGAGTTTCCATATACTAATTGGATACATTCCAGAGAGTAATGGGAAATCTCCACAGCGTGTGGGCACTTCAGACAATTAGTGGGGCGTTTAGACGATCAAGTGAGGGTCTAACCGCCAGAGAATAAAACTGCCTCCTTCGTTCTACACCACTGCATGTGAATCTATTGCATGTTATCGTCTTTCCCTCCGTTCCTCCCTTTTCCCCCTGGTTCCTCCGCTCCCCACCGTCTTTCTCGCTGATCAGAGGTGGTTTTTGGAGAGCAATGGCCTTCCCTATCGTGCTATTGGCGCAGCAGAGATGACGGCAAGTGCAATGTGTACTGTTTAGGTTATGGGTGAATCTTAAGTTACTGGCGTTTAGCTAAGTATCATGCCAGCCTCTTGCTTGCGCTCGTTTGTCCCACTTCAAACGTCAATCCCAATTAGCCTGAGTCCCCATGTTCAATGCAATAGTCATTTCTCCTTCCCACCTCTCTTTCTCCCCTTCACTAACACAGGGAGTGCGAGAGAAGCTCACTCAAGTGGCCAGGTCCCTAAACCTACCTGTTCCAAATGGTAATTTACCTTCAAAAGACCAAATTATTCCCAACGATTTACAGCCAGTCCAATCTTGTTTTTACCTTTCTCTGATAATTCTGTCACCAAGTGGTGGCGCCTTCAATGACTGGTCCCCATCTTCTTTATCACTGTTGTTTCTTTTTGGCGCGACGTCTCCCAAACAGTCCTGGCACATGTCTGTGGATTGTCCAACCTAACCCTTTTCCATCCTGCCACTTTTCCAACCTGCCCGCCCTTCCAACCTGCCCATTTCGTCATGGCAACCTGTATGGCACGACTGCTCCAGTCGACAGTGTCTTCTACAAGGTAAGTCCATTCGTTGTGAATTTTTGCACGCACGTATGCAAGGTAAACTTGTGAGGTAAATCTGCGACGGCGTGATAGCTCCAGTTGACAGTGTCTACAACAAGGTACATCCTTTAGTTTCTGTGGAAACTCGCTGGAGTGCATACTTTCTGGTTTTTTTCCTTGTTAGATTGCTCGCTTACTGGCATGGCAGGTATTCGGAGGCAGTAACGCGTATGTCTCATCATCTATCCCCGCATCCCCCATCCGATCTCTCCTTCGTGGCAGGTTCCATTCGAGGAGGTTCCTGATTTGGTGGCTTCTCGCAGGGTTTATCTCGAAAAGGGCTTTGCCTTTGTCCCCAGAGACCAGGTATGGGATTGCATGTTCTTTGTGTTAATGAATCAATGTGTTCTCCTCTTCCTCACATAGTAAGTCGATTTTGAGTCGACTCAAAAAAGTCCCCAGCGACCAGGTATGGGATTGCATGTTTCTTGTGTTAATGAATTAATGCGTTCTCCTCTCCCTCACTCCCATGGCTGTGATTTTTTTTCCCTCATTGCTGAGTGTGGCTGGTGGCCATTGTGGTGGGTCAGTCCCAAGCTTAGCTAACCAGAGCACTAGCTTGTGATGCGCCTCATGAACATAGCTTGAGCTGTCAGACGCAAACAAAACGTCAACTTAATAGCCAGTCTAACCAGAGCACTAGCTTGTGATGCGCCTCATAAACATAGCTTGTGATGCGCCTCATAAACATGGCTTGTTCTTTTAGGCTCCTCAGACAATGATCCGTCCCCTTCTCTGACGCGTGCCGGTCCGTGTGTGCCAGCTGGCGGCCATTGTGGTTGGTCAATTTCGAGCCAAGCTGTCCAAAGCACTCGTGGCAACCAACAGGTGAATCTTGGAATTTTGATGAGAAGAAAGTTTATGAGAGAGTTAATGGTATGGATGCGGTGTTTTGGTTTCCTATTTGAGCAGTATCGTCTGTTATTTCACATCTCATTGATATTTCCGTTTGATTGATTCACGTCTAATCACTATTTCCATCTCATATTTTTTTTTTCTGACATTCACATTGCATTGATCTTTCCCTTCCGTTTCCATTTTGTCCCCTCCTGTCTCCCAGGAAGTGGCTCGCCCACATACAAGAAGACGAGCAAGAACGCCTGAAGCCGGTCACTGCTGCTCATCCCTTCTTCCTCCCCACCCCGTCACCGTCCTCCAGGAAGTGGCTTGCCCACATACAAGAAGACGAGCAAGAACGCCTGACACCAGTGATTGAGGCTCTCAGCACACGCTATCTAGGCCCTGACTTCTCCCAGGTAATACAACTAACTTCAAGCAGAGAGGCCTCCATTTGACCTGAGGTCAAATAGAGACTTCTGAGGCAGCTTGGTTGGAGTCAACTCAAATCTCATCTCCTCCTTTTTCCCCTCCTTTCCCTCCCCAATCCTCCTCTCCTTCCCTAACCCTCCTCCCCCATCCGTCTCTCCCCCCCCTGTCTCTCCACTGCTCTGCCAGCCTGGCGAGACTGCTGAGGTGTCGCTCCGTGATTTGGACGTTGTGGCGCGGCAGTCTTTTCCGCTCTGCATGCGACACCTCTTCTTCAAGGTACGCATTCTTTGCCATTAGGACTGGGCGAGCTGCAGTAGGCAAGTAACTACACACCTGTGTCGGCTCGTCTCGGGCTAGGGGTAGTCTTTTCCTCCCTGCATGCGGCACCTCTTCTTCAAGGTACCCATTCTTTGCACCGTGTACGCTTTGATGCGAGAGTTCTCCGAGAATCCTCAAATTTCGTGCCACAGCCACAGCCACTGCCACTGCCACTGCCACAACCACGGCATGTGTCCGTCTGCAGGTTTGTCCAGGCACACCCGAAACACGTCCCCCCTCTGCATCCCCCACCTGCCCTCCAAAGCACCCACATCACCCTCCCACACCACATGTGGTTAGGCGTGAAAAGGTTTTTGTGGACTTAGAGTTCCCCAAAATCGCTCGCAAGAGCGACGTGTGGCTTGCTTGCCCCGTTAGCTTTGTCGTTGCACCCATCCATGTACTTCGATTCGAGTCGACAAAGCTAACGGGGCAAGCAAGCCACACGACATGTGGCGTCCATGTACTGGGATTCAACCCACGTAGAATGCCTCGAAAATCATTCCCTTTCCGTCTTTTCCATGCCCCACCCAACCCCTTGCGTGCCCGGTAACCATTTCCAGTTGCGGGAGGAGCACCATTTGCGGCACGGGGGCAGAATGCAGCTAGGGCTGTTTCTTAAGGTACAGTGTACAACTGGCTTGATGCAGATCGAAAGCAGCTGAGCTCCTTTGCTTCTCTTTCTATAAAGCATGCCGACTATGCAACAGCGTCTCAGCATCGCCATCAGCTCTTTCTATAAAGCATGCTGACTGTGCTCTCGTTCCCACGGATCACTCCCGTGCTTCTTCGTGCTCCCACGTTGCATGCATTTGCATGCATCCCTTACCTGCAATTTTCTCGATGCCATCCCTCTTGTATTCTTTGTCCTCTGTATCTTCACCATGTCATTGATTCTCTCCCATTTCGCCTTCCCTGTTCTTCCTCAATTCCCTTCCACCTCACCCCATGCTTCTTTTCAGGGCATCGGGCTGAGATTGGAGAATGCACTCACATTACGTCTGCTCCTTCTGTTTCTTTACTATATTCCACCCCACCTTCATGCACTTCCTCTATCCCCTCCCCTCATCTTACGTCCTCGCAGGGCATTGGGCTGAGATTGGAGGATGCACTCACATTACGTCTGCTCCTTCTGTTTCTTTACTATATTCCACCCCACCTTCATGCACTTCCTCTATCCCCTCCCCTCATCTTACGTCCTCGCAGGGCATTGGGCTGAGATTGGAGGATGCACTCACATCATGTCTGCTCCTTCTGTTTCTTTACTATATTCCACCCCACCTTCATGCACTTCCTCTATTCCCTCCCCTCATCTTACGTCCTTGCAGGGCATCGGGCTGAGATTGGAGGATGCACTCACATTCTGGCGCTCTGAGTTCTCCAGAAAGGTATGTCTGCTCAGCCCTGCACTCTTGTGGTGACTAACAAATTGTGATATTTTTGAAAAGCACGTATGCTTATGGCATCGTGCCCAATCTCCTTGGAGGCACCTCATCAAGCATCGAGCTGAGGTTGGAGGATGCACTCGCCTTGTGGCGCTCTGAGTTCTCCAGAAAGGTATGTCCGCTCAGCTCTGCACTCTTGTGGCGACTAACACATTGTTATATTTTGAAGCACCTCGCCAAGCATCGAGCTGAGGTTGGAGGATGCACTCGCCTTGTGGCACCTATCCTTGCAGACTACACTCCATCCACATAAACACCCATACTTAGATGCCGCTTTTGCTTTTTTCTTTTTGCATTATTGCTATCACAGATGGGTGCGGAGTGGTTCGACAAGGAGTATGCGTATTCCATCCGGCACAACTACGGCAAGGAGGGCAAGCGCACGGACTACACTCCCTTCACACGAATACTCATTTTTTCTTTACCTTTGCATTTGTCTTGGACTGATATATGCAGATGGGTGCGGAGCGGTTTGACAAGGAGTATGCGTATTCGATCCGGCACAACTACGGCAAGGAGGGCAAGCGAACGGACTACACTCCCTTCTCCTGTGTGAAGGTCATCATGAGTACACCTGGGGTGGGAGATCACCACGGCTGCCCCTTCAAGCACTTCAGGTGTGTATTCCCTCAAAAGCACACAGTATTGTGCTCAGTGTTCTACTGAGGGCAAGCGCACCGACTACACTCCCTTCTCCTGTGTAAAGGTCATCATGAGCACACCTGGCGTGGGAGATCACCACGGGTGTCCCTTAAAGCACTTCAGGTGTGTGTGAGCTGGATGATAGGGTCTTTATTCAGTCTTCTTTTGAGTCGACTCAAAAGCAGGTGTGTGTGAGTTGGATGATAGGGTCTTTATTCAGTCTTCTTTTGAGTCGACTCAAAAGCAGGTGTGTGTGAGTTGGATGATAGGGTCTTTATTCAGTCTTTCTGAGGTGTAATCTTCCACAACATTCGCCCTTTTCCCTTGTATATTCGCAGCATGAACCCTAAACCCTCAACTCCAGAGCTGCCCTTTTTGTAGTCAACTAAGAGGACGTTGTCAATACCAGAAAATATACTCTTATCCCTCTGGCATGCCTGTACTATGCGCAGCGAGGACAACTTGAGAGCTGCCCTTTCTCGCATGGGGGTGTCGTCAGGAGCAGCCATGGATGAGATCATGCAGAAGACACGGCAGCAGCACTACCAGGTAGGCTGAGGGTAGAGAGAATAATCTTTGAGGCGCCTTGAAATTTGTCAGGAGCAGCGGGGGATGAGATCATGCTGAAACACACCAGCAGCACCACCAGGGAGGCTTCCCTGACAATCTTTGGTGTGAGCTCGCTGAGTCTGTTCACGGTAACTGATATTAATGGATTGATTTCCTTTTAAATCCCTTTTTACTCCTAACTTTTCCTGGGATGCTTGATTTGTCTGTGGCAGATTTCCTGTGCTTTGACATTTGAAGCATCGCAAGGTGCTCCATGCCCCACGGGGATCACACATCCGAATCAATACTTCATGCTCAGCAGACAGGTTATTGAGGTATGTTCAGGAGCATGATAATTTAAATCATCTATGTATTTATCTACTGTTTCTTATCAATCTAAGTATGTAAACTATTGTTGTATGAATGTGAATGCAGGGACGAACTCAACCAGCTCTCCCACAAGGGCAAGGACAACAACCACGGCATCCAGAGTCAAATGCTAATAATCCAAGTGAAAGGTCGGATGCAGCTGGTAGCAACATTGGAAGGGAGGGGACAACGGATCCATGTTCCTTGCAACGTGCGGCTGGAGGGGATGCGAGACCCCAGCTAGTTATTGGAGAGATGAATGTTGACACCTGAAACGGGAATATTGCTAGTAATGGCATGGCAGTGTTTGATAGCCTATGTACACAAGTGTGATGGTATATATGATGGTAGTGTTGTGTACGAAGTTTACTTCAGGTTTCACCGGAAATTATATCATTTGTCAATTCAATCAGGCTCGAGGCTCGACCTAGAGCTTATCGAAAACGAACACTTCAGTTCAACTGCTTTCTCGCTGGCCATCCCTGATTCATTCCTGACTGATGCACTTTGGCGAACGCGTTCGCATAATCGTTCGGTTCAGAGCGCTCCCTAATTGAGCTGAACGATGATGATCAAATCGCACCGTATATACTTACACCGCACAGAACGATGATCAGATCGTAGCCAAACGATCTGTACCAAAAATCAGCAATTCTCGAGATATTTTCTTGTAGGTGGCTTGATCTCGATAACTACGAAGCCACTTAGGCTTCTGAAGGCTGTATGGTTCTGCTCCGGCCAGATCAACATCACACCTTGAATTGCAGCTTGGTCTTCGGGCGAAATTAGTTGGTCCTCTACTTATTTGAGTCCTTCAATAGACGTTGCTGGAAGGCGATTAAGAAGGGCTCGCCATCATGGGGAAGGCGGAAATTATATCGAACGTTTTGTTAGCTGGTAGGATCTTGTGTGATGCCTGCCGTCTTTCGTGTGTTTCCGTGCAAATTTACTTGACATCCTTGTCTAAATGATTTTCACAAGTCAATCCGTCCGAGATCCGAAAAATTACCCATTGTTTAATCACGTCCATTCTTCATGCAATTAGTATTAACACACATTCTGGATCCGTACTTCCATTCGAGTCCCATCTTCAACTGTTCACGAAATTTCAGTTGCTTGACCTTTAAGTTTCTGTGACTGTGTTAAGCTGAACAGCAGCTCAGTATATATTCGGTATCCCCTTTTTCCCTGTCCATTCTAACGTCAATCTGACGTTGACAGGTCTATTCGTGGCTCCGCTCTTCGTGAAAATCAACCCCAACTTAAATGTTGTCGCCATGGCTTCGCTAACCGTATTCGCTGGCTGTTACCGATCCGTCAAGCCGGCCGCTCCAGCTGTGAGTAGACCATTTGAGTCTTGCGGCTCTAAATTCATCCCAAAGCGTATACTCTCGTTACGACTAGCATCGCCAGCCTTGATTGCTGGTCTTTTTTTATTGTCTAATCTGAAAAAAAACTAGGAATTACCTCATTTCGCATGTCCTCACCACCGTCTGATATCCCTACTACCCCCGTCGTTCTCTTCCTCATTCTCTATCATAGACACGAGATCACTTGGAATTCACTTCTAAGTATTCCACCTTTCCGCTTCGATCCGTGCAGGCGACGATGTCAAAGGAGCACGCCATGGCGATTCCCACCATGAGCCGTTATCACCCTTCCCATTTCCCTCACATCCCTTCTCCCCCTCTTCTCTCCCCTGCTGCTCCTTCTCTTCCCCCTTCTTGCGCTATCCGTGCAGGAAACGATGTCGAAGGAGCACGCCATGCGGTTCCCCATCATCGGCAGCTGCGTGCTCTTCTCGCTCTTCCTGCTCTTCAAGTTCCTCCCCAAGGACCTCGTCAACATGGTGCTCAGCGCCTACTTCGTCTTCCTGGGAGTCATGGCCATCGGGTAAGCCATTGTCGACTGGCGTGCGGTGAGGGGGAAGAGGGGAGAGGAAAATGGCGGAGGGGGGTGGGGAGAAGGGAGGGGGGGATTTTGGCGTTGACAATACGTTTCACTTCTCAAGTTCCTCTCAAGGACCTGGTTAACATTCTGCTCAGCGCCTACTTCGTCTTCCTGGGTGTCATGGCCATCGGGTAAACCACCCAACACACCTACTAGCTCTGTGAAACCTCAAATTTCGCAGTGTGAAAACACATATTCGTCTCGTCTGGGATCAGATTCACCTTTTTGTAGTTCCTCTCATTTACGTTTTTGCCTTGGGTTTTGTGTGCATTCCTGCCCAATGCCTACTGTGCTTGCACACACTTCCACCAGTCTGCCATTTCACTCTCGAGTTTTTCAGAATTTGCCTGCTTTATGCAACCCCCCAACTTTTCTCTTGGCAGGGCCACAATTCTTCCCCTTGTGTCGCGATTTGTTCCTGCGAAGTGGAACGAGGATATTTTCTACTGGAAAGCACCCTACTTTAAAGGTATTCGTCGGTTTATTTCTTCTCGTTTGCAATCATTGCCTGTACACATTCTGGCAGCTGAACATACAGCACCAAATCACCAAAATGCTTGCAGAAGAATTGCAGTTTTTGGCTGTGCCAGCCAAGTAATCACCTTGGCCTACCGTCATCCCCAGATGTTGAAATAGAGCTGAAAATAGCTTAGGCTTCGGCTTTTAAGTAAACTAAGGTTTTACTCTGATCCGGACCTCTCAGGCGATGGCTGGCCATTCTCAACCAATCCTGCTTTGGGATGAATTTAGATCCTTCACTCTTCCTCTCTACCACGTCCCTCCCTCCCACCCCATCTCTCTCTCCCTCCGCCCGTCTCTCTCCCTACCTCTATTCATGCCCAGATTTCGAGATAGAGCTGACGATGGCGCAGGTGGTGGCGGGCATTCCAAGCTCGGCGTTCTGCGTGTGGTACGTCACGCGCAAGCACTGGTTCGCCAACAACGCCCTCGGCCTCGCGTTCTCCCTGCAAGGAATTGAGATGCTCTCCCTCGGCTCCTTCAAGATCGGTGCTATCCTGCTGGTGAGGTTAGGCTCTGGGGTCACTAGTTGCTGGGTGGTTTCAATGCCTCGCCTTCTCCCTGCAAGGATTGAGATGCTCTCCCTCGGCTCTTTTAAGATTGGAGCAATCCTGCTGGTGAGGCCATGTGCTGCTGGTGAGACTACTGCTCAGGCTACAGGCTGGGCGTTCCTGGTAAGTTGGGCGTGTTGGGTCAAACCTAGCCCACAAGTTCCAAAGTCCACCAAAGGTCTGCAGGGCATCGAGATGCTCACTCTCCTTCGGCTCCTTCAACATTGGCGCCATCCTGCTGGTGAGGTCCGGGGTGTGGGATCAATGGTCTAAGCTTGTACAGTGGGATGTTTGGTGGTTTCAGTCAACACGGCTTCTCATGTCCACCAAACGTCTGCACGGCATCGAAATGCTCTCACTCGGCTCCTTCAAAATCGGAATATTCTGCTGGTGAGGTGGAAAGGTGGGTTCATTTTCAAGCCTGGTTGGTGGGTGGTTCGGTGATTCCAAGCCCACAGGTTTTCAGGTACACCACTGACCTGCAGGGCATAAATTTGCTCTCCCTTGGCTCCTTCATTCAAGATCGGTGCCATTCTGCTGGTGAGGTTGGGTTGGGGAACCAGTCAATGATTAAAGCCTGATTCGTGGGCGTGGTTTTGCTATGGTCGTGTGCGTTTCCTCTGCGCCCGAATCTCACCTCCTTCCGCTCATCCCTTCACCCCCACCCTCCACGCTTGACTCCTACCGGCCCCTTCATTTTTCTCACTGACCAGGCTGGCCTTTTTCTTCTACAACATTTTCTGGGTCTTCTCCACGCATGGCCTCTGTCGTTGTTTCCTCCCCCCTCACCGTTCCCAATCCCCCCACCCGCCCCACCCACCCCGTCATTCTTCCTCCCAACCAGACTGCTCATTTCTTCTATCATATCTTCTGGAACTTGTTCACTCCCCCTAAAATCTGCTCTGATCGTTTCCCCTGCGCCCAAATCTCACCTCCTCCTGCCCATCCCTTTCCCCTTACCCTCTCCACCTGGCCCACCCTGTACCTCGTTCTCCCCCAACCAGACTGGTCTTTTCTTCTACAACATCTTCTGGGTCTTCTTCACTCCGGTTATGGTCTGCTACATTGTGGTCAAATCCTGCCTCCTCCCACCCATCCGTTCCCCCCCCCCACCACACCCTCCCGTTCCCCCCCACGTGCCCCCTCATTCTCCCCTCCCCCAGACTGGTCTTTTCTTCTACGATATCTTCTGGGTCTTCTTCACGCCAGTTATGGTTTCTGTCGCCAAGTCATTTGACGCACCCATCAAGGTATGCACGAGTAACTAACAAGCATATGAGCTGCAAGGTAATCATCGTAACGAGCAACCATGCACCCCTCGCATCCAGCCATCGCATGCGACAATTTCATGCAACCCTCGCATGTATGATGCACCCCTCGCATGCACCCCTCGCATGCACCCCTCGCATGCACCCCTCGCATGCACCCCTCGCATGCACCCCTCACATGCACCCCTCGCATGCAGCCATCGCATGTACCCTTGCATGCAGCCATTGCATGCAACTCTTGCATGCACCCCTTGCATGCACCCGTGCACCCCTTGCATGCAACCCTCGCATGCACCCCTCGCATGCATCAAGGTGTGCATCCACCTTACTGTTTTTTTTTTTTTTTTCCAGTTTGCCTCCTGTAGTGCCCTTCACACGCTCCTTAACACATTCTTACACTCATGCCTCAACTCCTTCACCTTTTCTCCAAACCACTGCAGCTGCTGTTTCCAACTGGTGACCTCGCAAGGCCTTTCTCCTTGTTGGGTCTGGGCGACATTGTTATCCCTGGTATGCTAGCTACCGCTGCTCCTTCTGTCACCTGCAGCTCCTGCTGCCACCTGGCACTTTTGATGTTCCGTTGTACAGGATCTCTATGGAATGTGCCGTATCATTGTTAAAGTTGTTGTATTCTGGTGAGGACGACATGATCCTACTGTTGTCCTACTGCACTTCCTACTGCATTCTTCCTACTGCATTCTTCCTACTGCATTCTTCCTACTGCATTCTTCCTACTGCATTCTTCCTACTGCATTCTCCCTACTGCATTCTTCCTACTGCATTCGTCCTACTGCATTCTTCCTACTGCATTCTTCCTACTGCATTCTTCCTACTGCATTCTTCCTACTGCATTCTTCCTACTGCATTCGTCCTACTGCATTCTTCCTACTGCATTCTTCCTACTGCATTCTTCCTACTGCATTCTTCCTTGAGGATTCTCAGGATAAGTTTTCACTTCTCTCTGTGTTTCACTAACTGTTTACCACCTATCTGTGCACCCCTCACCCCTCTCTGCACCCACACTTCCCACTGCAGGCATCTTTGTGGCACTCGCTCTAAGGTTCGATGTCTCTAGAGGCACTGGGCCGCGTTACTTTGTCTCCACGTTTGCCGGTTACATGGCTGGCATCATTACCACCATCTTCGTAATGAACTACTTTCAAGCTGCCCAGGTATGTGCATAAGCATGCTAAAGTTAACTCACCCTTCGTTATCATAGAAAGGCTGGAAGTTCGGTTTCTGCATCCTGTCCTGTGTTTCTTGTGCGTTTCATGCGGATGCTTTCTGTGTGTGCAGCCTGCCCTGCTTTATATTGTTCCCGGCGTGATGGGTTTTCTAGGTGTACACGGAGCAATCCGAGGAGAACTCAAGGAGGTATGGTTTGACTATCATCCTTGTTCTTGCGCTATAAGTTTTCGTTTTATTTTTTCCTACTTGGAACAGAAAATGGTGATGTTTAACTCAGTACCGTTTCGTGTGAGCAGCTATTGGCTTATGATGAGTCTGGGGATGGTGACGATAAGGATGGTGAGCATGACGGTGAGGCGACTAAGAAGGATGGAGAGAAGCCATTAACCACACCAGCCCCGTCCACAGAGAAGTCTGGAAAGGCTGATTAAAAAGTTCGTTTCTTATCATAAGTGTACAATAATCTTGATAATCTAAAATTTATGATTCATGCTTATATTTGTCATGACCAACCACCGAAGGGAACTTATCGGTACGTCAAGTGAACCATTGCTGATGTGTCAATTTCGTCAGACGGCACACGCAACTTGCGCTTATATCGAGTCCAGCAGGGATCTTGAGTTCCCAAGAGCACTAGTGCTTGCTGCAATCTTCTGGAAGGTCTTTTGGTTCTGAGTCCGACCTAGTTTTCAGGGAATAGAGATATCTACAGCAAAGCTAACCAGACCAGAGCTGCTAACTGTGGAGAGGGTCAAGGGGAGTTGAGTATCCCCGTTAGTTTCCTCTTCTAGTCCTCCTCGCTGCGGGTGTGAGAGGCCCGAGCATCGCAGTCTCTTATACCGCTCACAAAAGATCCAGTTTCCCGATTCGTCGGCTGATTTTGAGAGTCGCGTGCGTACAAGCACCGCGTCGCGATGGACGCGATACGAAAGCAGCTCGACGCGCTGATGGGGGCCAACAGGAACGGCGACGTGGAGGAGACGAACAAGAATTACTACGACCGGGATGTTTGTCGCGCGTTCCTGTGTGGCCTCTGTCCGCACGATCTGTTTACGTTAACGGTTAGTTAATAGTCATCCGCTATTTGAAGAACGTAAGACTATTACGACCTGGAATTGCGCCGCACGTTCCTGTTTGGGCTGTTTCCGCTCGATCTGTTTCCGTCGAGTTAATCGTTTTTCTTTTGTATACTTCTGCAAATTTTGTCCAACCTTTCAGGTTTTGTTTCTTACCTTAGTTCCGCATTCATATCGCTTCCATGTTTTACCTTTCTTTTTCTTTCGTTTTTCGTTTTCCAGAAAATGGATCTTGGACCCTGCTCCAGGGAGCATTCACTCCGCCTGCGAAAAGAGTAAGTAATTGTCTTCATGTCATCCATCATGAAAGTGTTTTGCCTTGGATTCTATTTTGTAGTTGAGCCATCAAAGCAGTTTCATTCAATCCGAGCCAGGTTCTGAGCACGATAACTGCACGAGAGCATTTTGGCGTTCGTTTAATGTTTTATTCAAAACCCTTGAATTTTCTTGTGCTATTAACGCGTACAGATACGAAGAAGCGAAGGCGAAGGGTCTGGTGGACTACGAGCGAGAGCTGGAGGGCATTCTGGAGAAGCTGATCGTGGAGTGCGATCGCAAGATCCAACGGTCGTTCAAGCGCCTGGAGGACGAGGAGGGCGCGGCTGCGCTGAACGCCGTTAAAGTGTCCGAAGTCACTGATGTGAGCTGATGGAAAGAGGGAGAGGGAAGGGGAGAAGGGGAGGGAAAGCGAGAGGGGGAGGGTTATTGAACGGGGGAGGGAGCGGGTGAGAGCTGCGCTGAACCCTGTGAAAAGTGTCTGAAGTCATTGCTGTAAGCCGATGTTGGTTCTGAGGGGAGAGGAGAGTGACAGGGAGAGGGAGAGGGAGAGGGAGTTTGTGAATATCTGGTTCGGACGAACATTTTAGACGGCTCAAATAGATGTTAGCAACATTGAACGCTGTGTCGGAAGTTACTGATGCTATTGCTTGTCTCCTCGTATTTTGTACTTCCGTTTGGCAATGTCTGCATGTGACGCGTGGTTGCATGTGGTTGCACATGGTTGCACGTGGTTGCACGTGGTTGCACGTGGTTGCACGTGGTTGCATGTCGTAGCATGTGGCTCATAATGCTTCTTATGCTGATTAACCTGCACTTTGTGTGTTTGTATGTTTCTCACTGTGCAGTCACCGGAGTCCATAGAGCTGACAAAGAAGATCTATCAGAAGATGGCAGAGGTCGATCAGCTGGGTATGCTATAGTTTCTTCGATTTCTTTTTGCCAGAGATTGTACAACGTAATTGAGCTGTTCCTTCCGGCCGCTGAAGTTGACAAAAGTTATCATGCTTGTCTCCTCTTTCACGTTTCTTTCTTTTTTTATTCCTCGTTTCCATTGTCCTTCTCCTTTCTCGTTCTCATTTCTCCATTATCTTTTCCCTTTCTCCTGTATGCTTCCTTTCCCCGCTGCAGAGATGGAGAACAGGATGGACGACAAGATTCGGGCCACGGAGGAACTGGAGAAGCTCAAGCAGGAGCGAGCAGACAAGCAGGTGTGAGCACACACACAGCACCTTCACACAGCAGATGAAGAGCCTTCGCATGACTCACAAACAGGTTGAATGACACTTCATTAATTCAATCTTTTGGATGTAGGGAGGGAGGCCCTACATATATTTAACAGCTGGGTATGTAGGGTCTCCCTCCCTCGATTCGTAACCGCCCCTCTCCTCTCGTCTGTCGTCCCTTCACCCTGCTGTTTCGCTCTCAGTTCTAATACATTCTTGACGCCTCCAACTGTCTGGCCTACCCGTTTATGGGGGACGGGGCAATGGCAGCACCCATACTCAACTAGCAAACCCCTTCGCGCTCCTTTTCTTTCTTTCATTTCCTGCTAAACCCGCTGTTCAATCCGTCAGGCCGCATCCATTCTTGATGCATTCAAGAAGGATCGTCTCCCCGGCTTGCCTGTCCCTGGACGGAGGGCCGGCAGTAGCAGCCCTGATTCACATCTTCAGCTCCTTTCCCCCCCTCCGCTGCCTTTCTTTCTTCTTGCTATTTCTTTCTCAGGCCGCATCCATTCTGGACGCGTTCAACAAGGATCGTCTCTCCGGCCCTCCAGCTCCTGGAGGGCTGGCGGTGGCATTCGTGATTTCCCATCTGCAGCTGCCTTTCAACCATCCGCTCCTTTCCTTCTCCCTGCTGATTCTTTCTCAGGCCGCATCCATTCTCGACGCGTTCAACAAGGATCGTCTCTCCGGCCCGCCTGCCCCCGGAGGGCCGGCGGTGGCAGCACCTGTGCTGAGCCAGCCGGACAGCAAGACGCAGGAAATGATAAAAGAGAAGCTAAGGCGCGCGGAGCAAGCCGGTGAGTGATGAAGGATGATTCAGGGGAAGGACGCGTGGGAGGAATGGCAAGAGCGGGAAGGGTGGAAGGGATGGGATTGCTGGTCTGGTGGCAGCACCTGTGTGCTGAACCAGCCGCACACCAAGACGCAAGAGATGATCGAAGAGAAGCTGCGTCGGGTGGAGCAAGCCGGTGAGTGATGTAGGCTGATTCAAGGGAGGGAAGGGTGGGAAGAACGGCAAGAGTGGGAAGGGTGGAAGGGGTGGATTGCTGGTCTGGTGGCAGCACCTGTGTGCTGAACCAGCCGGACAGCAAGACGCAGGAGATGATCAAAGAGAAGCTAAGGCGCGCGGAGCAAGCCGGTGAGTACTTTTCATCTCTCTGTGTGCGTCTTATCCAATTCATGAAGGTAGTAATGAAGGTGAGGGCCAGCAGCAGCAGGAATCATGAGTAGCTCTCAGAAAACAGGAATTGATTTTGCTTCAGAGCAATCCCTCCTCGTATAGACCCACTTCCCAACACCCCTTCACATCGCCTTCCCGTTTTCTCTGTTTCCGTCTCTCCTCCCTCTGTCTCCCCCCCACCTCCGCCGTCTCCTTACTTTCCCTCAATTCCCACCTTCTACACCCTTTCGCATCCCACCCTTCCCTTCCCCTCTCGCCGTCTCCTCCTTACCCCTCTGCTGTCCCCCCCTCCCACCTCCTCCGCCTCTTTGCATTTGCAGGAGAGGAGGGGCGGGTGGACGAGGCTCAGAAGCTCATGGAAGAGGCAGATGCTCTCAAGAAGGTGGGTGGAGTGGGGTGCAGTGCGGTTGGGTATGGTGGTTGGGTTGGCCGGCTAGGTTGGGAGGGGCGGGTGGACGAGGCTCAGAAGCTCATGGAGGAGGCAGATGCGCTTAAGAAGGTTTGTGGGGTGGTGGGATGAGTTCTGGCTGGGTTGGTTGGGTTGGGTGGTCGGTTCAGTGGGTTGGGTTGGGTGGGTGGTTGGGTGGGTTGGGTGGGTGGTTGGGTGGGTTGGGTGGGTTGGGTTGGGTGGATGTACTGTTCATTCCACTGCACAGTCATTCGTGCATCCATCCTCCAATCCTCTGCGTTACTTACCTGCCTTTCTCTTCTTCTCTCTTGCAGCTCGCCATGGCTCCAAAGCCAGACCCCATTGCAAGCCTCGGCTTTCAGATCGTGAGTCTGCCTCTCCAATCATTCCGTCCTTCTCCCATCATTCCATCCTTATCCCATCATCATGCCCTTCCCTTTGCGCGCACCCTGTTTGCGCTTCCACTCGGTTCAGGCGTTGACCGATTCCCGTCCAGCCCTTCCCTCCGTCGCACACCCGAGGGGCATTCCTTACCATATTCGAATATGTCCCCTCTGAGGCGCCTTAAGAATTGTCTCTGTTTGCTCTTCCTTCTCTCCGCCTCCCTCCCTCGCCTGCTTGCTCTATGTGTGGTCTGGCAGGCGGATCAGAAGCTCCGGGTGTGTGACATCTGTGGGGCGTTTCTCAGTATCTTTGACAGGTGTGTTTGGGGTCTACTCCACTCAATGTGCAATGACATCATATCAATGCGTGTATATTCTCTGTGTTCGTCTAGAGTTCAGCGTGTCGAGTGGTGTCTACTCAAAACTGCTCAACACTAAATACTTAATCTTGTCGGGTGGTCCTGTCTCCTGATTATTCTTCCTTGATTGACTTCTCTCTCTCTCTCTCAAATGGCCCTTTCATTGATTGATACAAGACTTACAGGCATGCAAGGTGGTAGTTATCCATACGTGAGTCTGATGCATAAAGCCTCTTAGTACTCTCCCATCACTTCCCCCCCCCCCCCCCCCGTCCTTCTAAGCTAGGTCCAGTGCAGGATCAAGGACCGAGAGGCAGTCCCCTAGGGACGGGGCCTCACCCACTGCCTCTAGCAGCGGGTTCTCTACTGCAGCCGCTATGCTGCACTTCTCTAGATATCCAATCGACTGCCCCCTTTGAAGAGCCACCGACCACCGCTGCCGAAAATGGTGTAGGAGCTTGGCAGCTTGGTAGGAGGTTGGCTCGGCGTTAAAAAACCGCCTTGCAGCCGTTTCCGCGAGCAGCTTCAGGAAATCTACTGTCTCAGGGCATGGGCACCCATAAGTCTCGACCGCGAGCGGGAAGAACTTCACCCACTCAGGGCGGTCCTTGTAGAGGCCTTGCTTCTTATCTGCTGCTTCCCGTGCCGCCCACCCCGGCCCCTTAGTTGCATTCTCATCTCGGGTGCTGATGGGGTCCGTCACCGTCACATCACGGATGTAGACGGCTCCTGTTGAGCGGCAGCGGAGGGCCAGCTCCGCCTTCTTCTCTTCTACTGGGCTGAAGGCGGCTGTCTCGATGTGCACCATGAAGCCATCATCACGCGCCATTCGTGCGCATTCGTCCCTAAGCTCGTTGTGCGTGTTTGTGCGCCCCCCCCCCTGTGCCGCATCGTAGCAGGTGGTTCGGGAGCCGCTTATCCGGAATCTCCACCTTCTTTGTGCAGCTGCAAACTCCGGGAGCGGCAAAGGGGAGCCCCAGTCGAAACTGGAGCGCATTGGCAAAATGTGGAGCCTCGAGGTGCAGCGAGCGGTGCAGAGGCACCGCGTTTAACCAATCTCCCGCCCCGTACCCTGACAGGGACAACAGCCGCTGCGTGTGACCGTTATTTGGATTCGGGCTCATCCCCCGCACCTCCTCCACCTGGACCGCGTAGCGCTGTCCCTGGATAGCAGTGGCTAGCCCGTGCTGCAGCTTTCCTGCGGTTGGGGCTGCTCTCTCCGCTTGCAAAGCTTCCTGGGCCGGCAGTGGAAGCTCCCCCTCGCATTCCGCTAGCCACTCGGTCAGGGGGGATGACTGAGAGTAGGGGCCACGCATCAGCTCGCGGGTGGCCTCTAGTGGGCCAGTGCAGTCGCCATCGAGGGAGTCAAGAAGGAGATGCGCCTGCGTGTAGCTGGCGAAGAAGCTGTAACTTCCCTCCACGGACGGATCCGTCAGCCCCAGGCCACCGAGCGATACGGGGAGCAAGGCTTGCGCCCATGTGCATGCCGTTTCCTCGGTCCCCCGCGGGTGATTGATGCCACATGCTGTGCTGTGAGCAGAGTTTCCAGCAGCCGCCTCCCCCATTCGGACCACTCCTCCTTGGGCAGGGATGGGAGGGGAGTCGTGCGGGCCAGGTAGGACACACGGCGCGAGACGCACCGAGACAGCAGCAGTCCTGCCAGCTGCGGCTCCATCTGCTCGATCAATCCTAGCGGCGCGTCCATTGCCTCCAGGCAGGACCGTACGAAGGCGGAGGTAGCACTTGGGGAGCAGATGTAACTTCCCAGCACTTTCAACCCGTCGCTGCTGAGTGGAACTCCTTCGGGCAGGGGGAAGTCCACGGGCGACCTGTTGGACCATGCCCTGCACTTGGCGGGGTTGTGTTTGAGCCCGATTTCAGCAAGAAGGCTCGTGAAGTGCTCAAAAGCAGCCGCACATGACAACGGGTCCCCTAAGAAGGTCACGTCATCTGCGTAAGCAAGGCAGATGACATCCGGATTGGCCTCCGCAGCAGCCTTCAGAGCTGGTTGCATGGCCGCGGCAAAAAGAAGGGGGCCGAGTGGGTCCCCTTGGCGGACCCCGGTCTCACTGAGTATAGGCGCGTGGCTAAAAGCTGCATCCAGGTGCAGTGCGGACGGCTGGCCGTAGGAGAAGTGCACCAAGGGTAGTAGCGGCTCCAGCTGCGAGCCTTTCAGCGTTGTCGCTATGGTGAGGCGATCAACGCTGTTGAAAGCGTTAGCTAGGTCCGCCTGCAAGACTAGTGCCTCTTGATTTGCCGAAGTGAAGGTTCGGACTATGTGGATCACTGCCTCTGCTCCTCCTGGCACGGCCACTCCAAATTGTAACGGTAGGAAGAATTCTCTGGCCGCATCTGCTAGCTGAGTAAGTGCTGCCTTGGCTGCCAGCCGGAGGATGCATTCACCTATAGCTATTGGCCTGGTCCCTCCGTCGGGCTTGTCCAGGGCTATCAGCCGTGATGCGGTAAGAAGCTCCCCAACCTCCATGCGCAGCTTCCCGCGAAGGATCTTGTTGACAAGCGCATCTAAGTGTGAACTGACCGCAGAGTGCATCAGGGCAGCTTCGCGCAGGTGCTCGAACGTCGTACCTGAGGGGCCTGCGCCAACCCCGTTCTCACATTTCGAGAGAAGTTTTAGGAATACTTCTCGCGATACTGCCAGGTAAGTGTCCGGCTCAGGCTGGGGCCACGGTGTGTCAGGGTGCTGGGCGCGTGGGTGCTTGGCACGTAGGGATTCAAGAACTTCTGGGGTCGGCTTGCTGACCGGAGTGGCTTCGAGTGCCATGACAGCCCTCCGCAGACTGCCACGTCGCGCCAGACCCTCTGCCCTGGAGATAACTCCCAGGTCGTCAGGTTGGTGCCTGGGGGGGGGGGGGGAAGGGGGGGGGTAGCTCCAGCGAATCCACTGTTTCCTGGTAAAGTGATTCCCACTCCCCTCGCAGGAATTTACGCAACCTACTTCTGGTCGCCTTCCAATCAGGATGCTTCGGGGACTGCTGACGCAGTGTCAGGCGAGCGGCGAACAGCAAAACCGTCCAGGCTTGGGTGGAATCAGGGTCGTCGGCAAGTCGCAGCAGTGGTGTCAGTAAAACCATTGCGAAAAGCAGGCGCAGCTTTTCCAGAAGGTGACGTGCTAGAGGTGAGTTGCGACTATCGCGCAGCTTATCCAAATTCCAGTTACTGACGCTTGCGAAAAGCGTGTCATCCTTGGCGAGGGCTTCGGGCGATTTTTGGGGAGGGGGTTGTGCCTGCCGATGGTTACCCCTCGCTGCAGTTCGCGGTGCAATTGCAAGAGGTGGTGGCAGGTTTTGTTGGGCGGGCTGGTTGGCAGTGGTGTCAGGGTTGTTGGGAGTGGTTTGAATCTGTGGGGATAGCTGCGCCTGGGTGGGGGTGCGATTGAAATTTGTTGCCGCGCTTCGGGCATGGGCTGAGTTGCCTCCTTGCTGAGCAGGGACTTGGGACTGGGCCTCCTACGAGGCATTCGAACCTGAGTCTGCTTCCTCCTCCTTCGCCTCATAAATACTCTCCGACAGAGCTTCAGCTTCATTAGCTCTTACTAACTCAGCTAAAGCCCTTCTCGCTGCCATCTGGAACGCGTTCTCTGGACCACCCTCACGCGTACTCCTCCCACGCCCTCTACCTTCAGCACGGCCACCGCGCGTACGCGCACTGGCTGCGGCCGGCATTGGACTCCCTCGACTAACTCCTCCCTCGACTAACTCCTCCCTTGTGCGGGCGCGATCGTGCGTCCTCGATTTCCTGCTGCCGACGCGTAAGCCGCGATGGCGACTGAAGCGGAGAAGTCAGCGGTGGACCAAGGTCACACCGCTGAGAGCGCGAAAGCTCCGCCTCCGGCCCGTGCTGTTGCTGTCGCCATGGCTGCCGCTCCTCTAGCCCCTCCGGCTCCTCCTGCTGCTGCTGCGTCATCCTCAGTTCCGGTCCCGCTGTCGTCGGCTCCCCAGCCGAACCTTCCGCACGCTCTTCCCTCGTCCGGCGCGCCGATTCCCGTCGCGCAGCCGCCACCTGTGGCGCTGTCCCCCGTCCATGCTATCGCTGGGGGCCCTGCGTCGGGGACAGTGGAGGGCGCCGGCCTCGACTCTGCCCACTTGGTGGCCCCTGCGGCTGCGCCGGCACATCCCGTTTCACAGTGGCTCTCGGAGTCACAAATACGCGGTGCCGCGGGGGGCAATGCGGCAGCGCATCGGGGGCGAGGTTCTCCTCGCCGTCGCCCCTCGTCGTCGTATCGGTTGGCGCACCGCAGAGGCCGCGGTGGCTGGTAGGGAGGTCATGGTCGCGGGCGCGGTGGGCCGAGCGAGATGCAGCAGTTGCGCGAGGATTTCGCGGGGATGCTAGCTGCGGCGATGCGCAATGCTCTAAATGGCGCACCGAATCTTGGAAGCTTCCAGGCTCCTGCCGCTCCTGCGCCCGCACCGGCGCTTGTGAATGAGCTGGCTCCGGCCGCGCCATTTGCTGCTCCCGCCCCGCTCGCCTCAGCGTTCCCGCAGGTTCACACTCCTGGAGGTGATCGTGCTCCCCCTGCCTCCGTGCGTCCTGTATCTGCTGCGCCCTATCCACCTCTGCCCTGGATTCCCCCACTCCCGGACACGGGATTTGTGGGAGCGGGAGGCGGAGGGGCGAGAGGGGCCTTCGTCCCTCCACGACACTTTGCTGATGTTCCGTCCATGCAACCTCCGCCCCCGCTTCCGGTTCCGCCTGCGGCACTGGCGACTGGAGTGGTTGAAGTTCCCACGGCGACTCTTGCGCAGCTGTGGCGCCTGGTGGAGTGTCAGCGGGCCCTGACACTGATTCTGGTGAACTCGCATTTCGCCATTCTCCAGAGCCCAGGGAGCACACTCGGTCGTGAAGCGCGAGCTGATTGCCTGGCTGCAGCTGCGCAGCTTGCCTTCCTCCTCCTACCCGTGCTGGGAGCGCCCGCAATGGGAGGCGTTGCGGTTTCAGAACTGGACGCAACGGTCCAGGGTCCGACTGCACATCCTCGCGGCGCTGGATGCCCATCAGATGTAGTTTACGGCACCCGCCGCACGTAGACCCTTTGCATCTCGTGATTTAGTAGCGGGGCGTGTGGCCCATCGCTGTCTTGTGGAGTGTGCTTATTGATTGTCTTGCTGCTAATCCTTGCCACCCCTAAGCACGCGGCTGAAGGCCGCGCAACGCGAGCGGTGGCGGCCGCAGGCCGCCGGCGCGAGCGCCTACGAAAAACTGGAAACAAAATGGACTAATGAGGAAAAGAGATCCCCACGGGACGCTTATATAGCTTGGAGACAAGGGACAGAGGCTGAGTCCTCTCTCTCTCTCGCTCTGTCCGCCTACGAAAAACTGGGAACAAAATGAACTAATGAGGAAAAGAGATCCCCACGGGACGCTTATATAGCTTGGAGACAAGGGACAGAGGCAAGGGACAGAGGCTAAGTCCTCTCTCTTTCTCTCTCTCTCTCTCTCTCTCTCTCTCTCTCTCTCTCTCTCTCTCTCTCTCTCTCTCTCTCTCTCTCTCTCTCTCTCCCTCTCTCTCTCTCTCCCTCTCCTCATGCACACGCACCTTGTACCCGCACAAACAGCGACAGGCGGCTGGCTGACCACTTTGGGGGGAAGCTGCATCTCGGCTATCTCTTTATCCGCGACAAGATCAACGACATTCGGGTGAGTTCATGTGCATGTGCATGTGCATGTGCATGTGCATGTGCATAGCACATCAGATTCTGTTGCACGTCTCTTCAATCTGAGAAGCGGAATTGGGTGAGCCTTTGACCTTCTGTACTCTCCCTTTCCATTCCTTTCCTGTCTGGTTCTTTACGCCCACTCTCGTTTGTTTTTGCTCTTCTTGACGTTCTTTGCTTCCACTGTTCACTTTCGTCCGCGCTCGTTCGTTCCTCCATGGTGCTACCCTTTCGAATTGAAAAACTTTATCTCAGTTGATATTTACATTCTTAACCATTTTCTCGTTTGTTTTTGCTCTGGATGCAGGAGAAGAGGAGGAAGAAGGATGAGCTTCGGTGAGTCTTTTTGGAACATCCCTTTTTAGTCCACGTGAAATGAGGCATTTTCTGTTTGAGAATCTGCAAGTGAAAGCGGGCTTGTTACGCTCATTCTGATGTGGCATTGCAACTAGTCTACTTTTGGGGCGCTTCAGAAATTGGCCTGCTCATACCTAAACTTCTCATCCTCCTCCGTGTGTGCCATGGTAACGAGGTGACTCAAAAGTCATCTTGCTCATACATACTTTAACTTCGCATCTTCCTCCTCATGCTTCCCTCCCATCACTGCCACTTCCTCCTCTTTCTCTTCCTGCTCCTCGTACCCCCCGTTTTCCCAATGCTCCTCGTACTTGTGCTCCTCATGCTCCTCCGCGCATCCCCTTCATCGGGCCGATACTCCCCCAGGCCTAGATCTGAGGAGCGCAAAGAGCGTACAGACGACCGAGACAAGGCCAAGGAGAGGGACAGGGATGGGGACAGGGACAGAGACAGGGACAGGGATAGAGACAGGGATAGGGATAGGGACCGAGACAGGGACCGAGACAGAGACAGGGACAGGGATAGGGATAGGTACAGGGAAAGGGAGAGGGATAGGGATAGGGACAGGGATCGGGACCGCGATCGTGACAGGGACAGGGACAGGGACAGGGGGAGAGAGAGGGACCGAGATGATGACTGGGCGCGGGGACGGGACCGGGACCGGCGTGGGAGGGACTACGACCGTGACCGGCGGCACAGGTGAGCTTCTGATGCACAGGTGAGCTGGTTGATGCACAGGTGAGCTGGTTGATACACAGGTGAGCTGGCTGATACACAGGTGAGCTGGTTGATACACAGGTGAGCTGGTTGATACACAGGTGAGCTGGTTGATACACAGGTGAGCTGGTTGATACACAGGTGAGCTGGTTGATACACAGGCAAGCTGGTTGATACACAGGCGAGCTGGTTGATACACATTCTTATTCCCATCTCTTTCCCCATAACCATACTCAGTACCATGCCCATCCACATCCCCATCCATCCCCATCCCCATATCCATTACAATACCCATCTGCATCTTCATACCCATACCCATACCAATTCCCATACCCATTACCATCCCCATGCCTGTGAGCATACCCGTGCCCATGCCCATGCCCATCCCCATCCCCATCCCCATCCCCATCCCCATCCCCATCCCCGACGCCTTTTCAACCGTGTACAGGTCTCGTTCTCGCTCGCGATCCCGCTCTCGCGACCGCCACTCGAGGCGTTCCGACCGCTACTGACGCTCCTTTTGGTGTGTCTCGCGGCACGCTAGTGCCACACTCGTAGCCCTTGCGACTGCCACTCGAGGCGCTCAGATCGCTACTACTGACGCTCCAGTTTTGAAAGCAACCATGATCTCTGCAATCACGATGCAAAGTTCAGTCGCTCCCTTTGGCGCGTCGTGAGGCATGTGACAGTTCTGAGTCGACTCAAAAGTCACCATGTTCGTGCTGCACTCATCTTGCAGCATGACCTCTCCTCAATGCGCACAGATAGCTCAGATTGCAGTCACTCTAGAAAGTTTTGAATTTTCTCCAGAGTTGAACTAACACCTGAATCCTGCAATAGCTAGACCCGAGCAGTTGGGGGTTGAGTGTGGTTCGGCGGTCTCATTGGATTGGTGGTAATGGTTTGGTGGTCTTTGTGGGTTGATGAGGGGCTAATGGCGACGTGCTGCTTAGAGAGTAAGGACTTATACAGTATCACGTGGTATGGGCTTCTTTTCACATCACATTGCACATACCATCTGGTTTTGAGATATCGTTTTTGTGTACTACACCTTCTGGGCATGCTGTTCAGTAATGTTGGACTTGAAGTGCAACTGAGATTCCTTCAATAATTTTGCTTTCTGGTCAAGCCCGGCTAGATCACTGGCAGTCTACAACAAAACACTGCCAAAACGCCTGACATCCTCAAATCAGATTGCCACTCTGTTAGCTCCTCTACCTTCTCTACACACAAACCAACTTTGCTTCTCCCATCTCTACAACGCACAGAAATAATCCTCCTTACTCAAGTTAGAAAAGCGCAAGGCAAGCAGCTGCTGCCAGCACAAAAACACTCAACACCCCCCTATAAGCCAGCACCAGCCGTCCAGCCTCCTTGGGGGGAGGAGGCGACGCCGAAGAGCCTGTACCAGAGGAACTAGCAGCAGATCCACTAGCAGAGCCACTAGAAGAGCCACTAGCAGGGTCACTAGCAGGGCCACTAGCAGAGCCACCAGCAGAGCCATTAGGAGAGTCACCGGCCCCACCGCTTGGTGCTTTACGGCAGGAAGGGTCGGCGATGGTCCGGCCGATGAAAGGCTTATATTCGGGGTGCGCGGTAACATTGAGCTTTGATATGGGGCACTCTTTGGTGGCGGGGAGCGAGTCGCAGCACACGTTGGTGTCGGGGAGCTTCAATGGGCCGTTATAGCACTTGTCGGTGCCTTCAAGAACCTGGGAGAGAGGAGGAGTGGGGAAAGCAGGAGTGGAAAGAGGAGTAAGGAAAAACGGGGAGTGAGTCTCAGCACACGTTGGTGGCTGGGAGTTTCAGCGGGCCATTATAGCACTTGTCGGTGCCTTCTAGAACCTGAGAGGGAGGTTGTGGGAAGAGAGGGAGAGAGTGGGGAGAGGAGTGAGGGAAAAGGGGAGCGAGTCGCAGCAAACGTTGGTGTAGGGGAGCTTCAGCGGGCCGTTATAGCACTTGTCGGTGCCTTCTAGAACCTGAGAGGGAGGAGACGGAGTGGGAGACAGGAGTGTTGGGAGAGGGCGTGGAGGAGTGGGGGAAAATGGCGGCGGGTCGCAGAACGCATTGGCGTCAGAAACCACTTTTGAGAAATCACTTTTGGAAATCTCAAAAGTGATTTCCATATAGCATGGAGGAGTCAGGGAGGAAGGCAGCGGGTCGCAGAACACCAACTAGGTGCTCGCAGAGCGGTATGAAATCGTTAACGAAGTGACCAGCGTGGTGTAGACCGGTATGAGCTTGTTGGTGTGATTATCATGGTGCAGGACGGTATAAAGCGCTTACCGGAGTGACCGGCACGCTGCAGAGCGGTACAAAGCGCTTACAGGAGTGACCACCACTGTGTAGTTGATAGCATCGAAGGCCTGGCCGACCCTCCCGAACAGGGTCGTCATTAGCTTCTCCCCCGAGTTAAAGTACTGAGAAATGGCGCCTTGAAAGCCGGGTACTGTGGGAATGGGGGAAAGAGAAAGAGGTGAATTTTAGGTACCCCAACAGAAGTACTGCGAATAGGTTACCTGGGTACATCTCTTTCGCAGCAGACAGTGTTTAACAGGTTACATCACTTACGCGGCAGGTCCTTGCACTTTTCGTACACCTTGTCGGCGAAAGCCGTGGTTACCAGGTTACATCACTTACGCGGCAGGTCCTTGCATTTCTCGTACACCTTGTCAGCGAAAGGAGCGCAAACGCGCATCTCGCCGACTACCCCGCGCGGGAGATCCAAATATTTCCCCGAATCTGAGAGACAGATAACCAGTCGCAGAAACGTTGAGAATTAGGAATGGAGTGGCTTGGAGAGATGGAGAACTCTGAGAAACGGAGCGTTGACGAAGGAAAGCTGCGAAGGTTTGAATCAAACGTGATTAAGATCTATCAAAGGAGCTACGAATATTCTCGAGACGGTCCTGACGTTCCCTGAAGCTCACGAACGTTGACATTGAAATCACTTTTGGGAATTCTTCGGAAGCCTTCAGCAGCGCAACTGGAGTTGCAGCCCGTGGCGCAGATCATCTGCCCGAGAAGGTCCTGACACTCCCTCGACGAACGACGTGGTGACTTTCGAAGTTGCTTCAAGAGCTAATCCCTCCGGCTCACCTGGGTTGCAGCCCGTGGCGCATATCATCTGCTCGAGAAGGTCCTGACACTCCCTGAAGTTGACGAACGACGAGCATAGCTGCATGCACAATCAACGAGCAGATTGCAGTTTTTAGTCGCCTCAGATCAAGCATCCTTGCAGGAACGGCGCGCTCATCAGGGTGAATTTCATTTTAATTGGATCATAGCGATAACGTATGGGTAGTAAATACGTGACGGCCCCGATTGCACTAGATTATCATCATCAGCTTACCTGGACGTCTTTGTTGCCGATGATCGTGTTTTGAGTTTGACTTCGTTCTCAACACGTCACGACTTCGTTCTCGGCTTACCTGAATGTCTCTGGCGCCGAGGAGATTCGAAAGGCGAGGATCTACTGTGGAGATGAGCGTTGTGACGTTCGCGCTGACTTCGGCGAGCGCGTATCGTCTATCGGAGCAGTCCTTACAGCATGACATTTCAGCGGCGTCGAGGCATCGCGAGGCCGATACTTTTGGTTTTGTCGGAGGGAGGCCTGTGAACGGACATAGAGGGTACTTTTCAGCAACGGTGACCATTGCGAGAAGAGCTATGGCGAGGAACCAAGTGGCGAGCTTAGCTTTCTCCATGTCGACGCGGCCAATAAATCCGAGCTTAGCTGAGTCAGCTGGGAGCAGTCAAGCTTCTTGGACTGAGAACTAGGCCTCACCACTCAGAGTGGCCAGAATATGCAACTATCCAGACGAGATAACCTGGAAAACTCCTAGCTGAGCCTGGAAACCTGCGTGAGCTGCACTGGAAAGTCTTGCACACCCAAGAAATGATAAGAGGTGAGCGGGTGGGGGGGGACGAATGACGATCGTGAGATCAGGCACATATGTGAGCATGGGAGTAGAAAGAAGCTGCTGAAGCCCTGGTGATGACGATTGGGCGGCATTCCCAATTGTGACGGGACGCGACACTGTCGAGGCTCCAGTCAGGACACAGGACTTTGAGGGTTTCCCTTATCCGAGTGTCAGGAATGAGGAACGCGGAAGCTCCACCATAACGGTCTTTTGAGTGGAACAACTCCTGCCCTGAAAAACAAAACAGACAAAAATCAGTCGGACTGAAATTCGGCCCACGTTTTGGACCCACTTCATTCGGTCAAATCGTACCGTCGAACAATGCTGTTCTTTTTTTGCGAAATTGAAAGTGATTTTGTGCCTGACCCAGGACTTGGCGGCAGAACGGTGCAACCCTTTGCTGCACGGGCGATCGGTGGGGAAGGGGACAGGAAGCTCACAGTCGCGCTTCGGCAAACCATCCTTGATAGAAGCTGTGTGAAGATCAATGGAACAAGTGTGATTTGTATTATTTATGAATCTGCAATCGGGACTTTTTACAATTTCGATATTGCATTCCCCGTTCCACAAGCTGTCAGAAATGCCGAAGCCGTCGCGATTTTTTTCGAAAGCCGAAACGCGCCTGGCTTTCAGCGGTTCGATTTCCGAAGCAAAATCCACCGCGAACATCGCCCCCACCAGAACCAGACCCCGAAATGGAAGGCGGGTCGCGAGTTGAATAAAATTGGAGCGGAAAACCTCCATTCATCCCTTCGCCTATTCAATTTCTCTTTCCCCCGTCCCCTTCCCCCTCTTGCTCCTCTTTCATACTCTCCCTTTCTCCGCATTTCTGTCGAAATCGGTACGGTTTTTCATTCGCTATCGTTACTTGCCAGTAGAAGTTCAGCATTTGCTTAGAAATAAGCTTCGGTCAGTAGCTATTTCATTTTAATCGAGAGCTTCCGTGTATATATTCCAGTGGGCAGTTTGAGCTCCAATCGACCGCGTGAGCTACGGGAGCCATCACAGCTAGACTGAATCCCAGCAGATGATAAGGACCATCACATTGATCTATCCACGTGACCCTTAGTTAATTCATTCATAGTCGAACGTGTCCCTCAACCTCTCGTTACTTCCCGCGAATCAAGTAACTCTTTCAGCTAACAGAAACTCAAGATGGGGAAGTCCCCGCTGCCTGACACACGGACTCGGCAATCCACCCAAATCTCGTTACCCTCACGTCTCCTATTCTCCCTCCTCCTCCTCTCTCTCGCCCTCATAGCACCAGTCTCAGCGGAAGACAAACCGAACTTCCCGCTATGTCCGTACACGAAGCAGCCGCCTACCAAGTCTAACTTAACATTCACGCGGTGCGTGGGAGCCACCAAGTACACGTGCTGCCCAGACTGTTACGACTTGAAACTCGCCCTGCTCGCCGTCAGCGCAAAGGGCTCCGGGATCCTCAATCAGATCTCGTCCGGCCTCGGACGCGTGCTCGTCGGGAAAGACATTCAGGTGAGCGATTCGAGGGTCAGAAGAAGGCCAAAAGAAGGCTAACAGCAGGCCGTCAGCGCCAAGGGCTCCGGCATTTTCAATTAAATATCGTCCGGCCTCGGCCTCGGTCGGCAAAGACATTCAGGTGAGCGCTTCGATGGACGAGACGGAAAGTCAGCATTGGTGCACTTATTTCACTTTCCCCACTTCCCCTGTTTCCCATCCTTCCCAGGCTTTGCTCCCACATTCGCCAATCGCCACTCACGCGCCCCATCCTCACTCCCTTTTCCGCGTTGGTCAATTAGCCCATTGCCCTTCCGTCAACCCCCAATCGCTTTCCGCCCTTCCCCTTCCCCTTCCCCTTCCCCTTCCCCTTCCCCTTCCCCTTCCCCTTCCCCTTCCCCTTCCCCTTCCCCTTCCCCTTTTGGTCCAAAAAGCCATTTCTTCCCTTCCCCAATCCCCCCCTTCCCCCTCTTCCCTCCCCCCAGCTCTGTTCCATCTTCGCGAGTAACTCCGCGTGCCAGCTGCACCTCGAACAAGTCGTCTGCGCCAACGGCTGCGACCCAGGTGCGACTGCGTGTGATCCAAACGACACATTGTGGGATTTCAGGATACAGTGAGCTCGCAATTTGGGCCCGCTGCTTTCTTTCGTCTCTCCAGACTTCGTCTCGCCAGTATTCGTCGACTTCGTCTCTCCAGTATTCGTCGACTTCGTCTCGCCAGACTACCATTCTTCTTTTCTTCTGGCAGACTGGCTCGCAAAAATGCATATGTATCCTAATTTTTGCAAACATCCGAATTTCCTCACCTGCCCATACTTGCAGAGTCGGGAAACTACCTGCAAATTGTGGACCGAAACACCAAGGGCATCCTGTCCGTGTGCTCTGACTACTCCTCTGTCGTCTACGAAAGCTGCAAGGACCTTCCACGTGAGTTGAACCGCTCTCAACCTCTTTGCACCCAACTCCCCCCATACTCCCTGATGTTCCCATAACCATCAGAACAAGCGTTTTGGTGCTATTTCCCCGTCCTCCCTCTCCTCCCTCCGCTCCCTCCTCTCCCTCTCCCTCTTCTCACACACCCCATGTGCGATCACCAGTGCCCGGCTTTGGACTCATGACAGAGCTGCTCTGTTCTGCCCTTGTAGCTACGCATCCCAACCGAACTTCATTTCCTCCACTCCCTATTCTACATCCCTCCCCACAACCACCCACCAGTGCCCGGCTTTGGAACCATGGCGGATTTCTTCCCCACTAAAGAGCTCTTCATGACAAAACTCTTTGGAGCGGTCATCGGGCTAATTGGCAAGCTCAACTACACCGTCAAGATCAAACCTGTAAGGCTCTGAACTCCTCGGTTGCTGGATTCTATAAACTAGATGCGGTAACATGTCGAGGGAGCATCGCTTTTGAGTCGACTCGAAAGTCCCGGTCGCTGGATTCTATAAACTAGATGCGGTAACATGTCGAGGGAGCATCGCTTTTGAGTCGACTCGAAAGTCAACTGAACTCCTCGGTTGCTGGATTCTATAAACTAGATGTGATAACATGTCGAGGGAGCATCGCTTTTGAGTCGACTCGAAAGTCAACTGAACTCCTCCGTCGCTGAATTCTATAAATTAGATGCGGTAACATGTCGAGGGAGCATCGTTTTTGAGTCGACTCGAAATTCAACTGAACTCCTCGGTTGCTGGATTCTTTAAACTATATGCGGTAACATGTCGAGGGAGCATCGCTCTTTGGAGCGGTCGTCGGGCTGATCGGCACGCTCAACTACACTGTCAACTTTAAACCGGTGAGCCCTCTTTGCCGATTATCTCCTCACACACTCTCTCCTGTAATGGGTGTCGTAAACCCCACACCTATCATCCGTACAACACTAATTGATAACATTGCACTGCTATAACGGACCAAAGGCCCTCCCAGCAACCACCCTCTGCTGCGACCCATTAAAGGTCCCCCGAACGTGTCCTCGCGGCACCATCAGCTTCAAAGAGAACCCCGATTTCCGCCCATTTGTGGGGCGGCAGATCGACAGCAAGGGCTATTGCAGCAACTCCAAACCCCCCATCTATTCTCCCCACAACACTAATTGATAACACCTTGCCCTCTTGCCCCCCCGTTTCACCCATTTGCTCCTTTACAGAACAATGAAGCGTGCTATAACGGACCAAAGGCCCTCCCAGCAACCACCCTCTGCTGCGACCCATTAAAGGTCCCCCGAACGTGTCCTCGCGGCACCGTCAGCTTCAAGGAGAACCCCGAGTTCCGCCCGTTTGTGGGCCGGCAGATCGACAGCAAGG